AATTTCTTGTTCTCTGTTCACCAGCATACCCTGAAATAGCCTCAACCAAAACCATAGCCTCATGCCAAAAAACATGCTTTGCCCCAAATGTTCTAATGTTTAATTTTTTTATTTTCTTACAAATATGCTTCAATAGAGCTCAGGACAAGTTCCCTATGATGTATTGTTGTACTGATGTACCCAAATATCCACCCATATCCCCAAACTAGCATTCTAGGCCCAGACTATAAATGGATAACAATTAGATGTATTTGTGCTAAACTGAACTTATTGAACTAACTGAACAATTGTTTTTCTCTCAATCACATGACAGAAGATTTTAAAAAAATTATTTTTGCTGATTTTTTAACATGACTGAGAACAGAACAATTTTTATTTAAAAACAATCCTTAAATTCCTTACAGGCTTGAAATAAACAAAATGATCAAAATAGAGGCAAGGGGACAACAAAATTCAACGCAACAACTTGAGGTCACCTGAATAAGGGTTCTAATAAGGGTACAATACTTTTAATCAAAGCAGTGGAGTTAAATGGGCACTTTTGATTAAAAAAGCTACTTTTGTTGGACCTTCCAGTGGAAAAATAGGGGGAGAAGTTGAAATAAGCTACACATATTCTATTAAAATCCCCAATTTATTCTAAGCCCAGAAAAAGTGATTACTTCACTCAAATAAATAAATATAGTGTCTATAGTATATCCACTGCTTTCACTGTTAATAATGCTGTAATATATGCGTGTTACATGGTCTTTTCTGCATGTTCTAGGTTAAGATTGCATGTGCACTACTTCATTCTTTAATGGAGTAACAACAGACAATTTTGATTAAAGATAGGCAAAATGTTAAAGCTTTAAAATGCTACATTTGGATATGCTAGCCCAATGGCAATAATGTCCTTTAAGCCTATTCCCATGTATAACCTAGACCTAAAGGGGTTCAGCATTCAGCTGGCAAAGTACTGGAAAATCCAGAATGGCCAATCGCCCTGTTGATGAACTCAAATTTGACATGTTGCCCAAAAACGTTTTATAAAACATTTATGCTTTTGTTTCATTAAAACTTTTCTCAGTAAGAAAATCTTTAAAAATGCTCTCAACACAGTTATAAATGGGGCTAAAACCAAAAGTTAATGTGTCCTTCATCAAATAACTATGAACAATCAAGGGCATACTTGGAGAAAATCTTCAATCAATTATAAAAACTACAGAAACTTAGAACAAAAACTATAACAGAGGTCCAAACAAAGGTAACTCTCTGCAACCTAAGTGATGTGTCTGTATCCTAATAACTTTATTTCTTTCTTCTTTTTAATGGACTTGTAGTTATTGTTATTCCCTCTTTTGGGCGCTTTGAACCCTTAGTGTTTCCTTTAGGGGTTATACTTGTGGCAATAGATCTTTGCACCCTCAACTTGTTCTCCTGATGACCCAGTGCATGGATAGTAGGATTGCAAGACCGTCTTCCTAAACCTCTATGTTGTCCAAAATGGTCTTCAAGGGGATCCTGGCTAAGTTTGTTCGTAAGGACATACTTGAAGCCATTTTGGAGCAGATACTGGACACATTCAATCAACGCATGAGCTGTGGTTTGCAAACCTTCAAAGGTTGCTTTGGTTAAGAACATCTTTTCTCTGTCTGCTGACTTGAAATTCCCTTTGCGGTTTTCTATGACATCCTTCCAATCAGCCAAATATTTTAGGAATTCCTCTTTCATGAATTTGAACCGTTCATCGTCCACACTTGTATATGGCTTCAAAAAGGGCTTTCGTTTCTGTATACCTTCATTTAATGACCGCGTATTGCAGCAATCAAAGAATTTATCTACAAGTAATATCAGCTTGGCAGTTTCTTTTGCCTTTGGTGTAGCATAAGCCAACATCACCTTACCTACTGTCTCGCTCATGACTTGCGCTGCTAAGTTGACACGCATTCTTGAATAAGGTGTCAAATATCCATGCTCGTTCTTGATTTTGGGTAGCTTCCTGACCTCACTCAATCGATCTGCCTCATACAATGAGATCAAATGGTCCCATGTCATCTCATCATTGTTCCAAAGAAGCCTTTTTTTCCCGTGTCCTGAATTTGCAAGATTATTGCGTATTGTTTTGATTAGGTGTGGTGGGTCAGAAAATAAGAAAATAGGACGGTTTTGTTCCTTTGAAAAAACATTTACTGCCTTGTAAATAATGCTACCCTGAGTGCTCATCATTCTGTAAAGCTTCTGGTTACTGCTTGCTTTATCAGACACAATGGCAATCACTTTCAGCCCTGCATATCCCTCGCATAAGCTTATAGCTCTCCATGTTAAAGGGAACAGCATTCCTGAATTTGCAGTAGTAGTGGCAAAGTAGCCAAGTGAAAATTTGAGCCTGGTTGCAATACCACAAACCATAAACACAAGGGCATGTGTCGCAATTGTACTTGATGCATCCTTCTTGAAGACTTCATTTACCTCATCACCAAGATTAACAAATCCAACCAGTTTATTGGTACTGTTGTTGTATACAAGATCATCTTGTACAGATAGCTCATCTAGCATCAACACAACATACTTTCCGATTCCTTCAAGTTTAGCAGCCTGATGTTTCAAATCTGCATAAACCTCTCTATTGAAACCTGCTCTGGGATGAAAAAGGCTAGAATAATCCCTCAATGTTCTTTCTGATGGGAGCTTGATGACAGAGCTTTCTTTCAAGGCTTTGTATGCTGCTGGGGATCGCAGATGTAGATGTAAAGCAAACCTTATCATCATTGGGTGCCATCTCTGCCCCTGGTTGGAATGCTCAAAAGCCTTTTTCTGCTCCTTCCAAAACAAATTTTGAAAAGAATTATCAGGGAATTCTTTCACGCCACTTTCAAGGATTTGTCTGAAATCCTTATGCACTTCAGTTTCCAGATCTATTCCTTTTGATGCAATTTCTGCTTCAAGCACTTTTATTTTCTCTTCCAGTTTTTTCTCTTTATCCCTTAGTGTGCGAATCGCTAAAACTAGTCGATTTTTTGCAACTTTTGTAAATGGGGCTTTTGTAGCAAGAGGTTTAAATCTCTGTTTGTCTTCAACCTTTTGTTTTCTTGCGAGGTCTTTAGCAGCAAGAGTACATGGCCTACAAGGGCTTGTTTCACAAAGAACAGAACAGTTGCTGCAAATTATGTACATGTTCTATGCCTTTTTTGCCATTAACCAAAACCACTTTTGATGTCTTTCCAGAGGAAGAAAGCTTTAGCCCATAGACCTTTTCAGCTGAGTCTTCAATGCCCTGGCATGGCTTCCATTGTGAAATTCTTTCTAAAATTACATTAATTTTCTTTTTCGAAATTGTTCGCTTAAACTCTTTGTAAATTGGATGTTCCTCGGGTATTTCCTTGAAACTACCCTCCACAACAAAACCAAGGGACTCATCCACAGTAAGCTTGATCACAACATCTCCCAGTGTATTGATACAGCCAAAAACCAAATTTTTTTCAGCGTGGGAAAGTTTTACCCAAGGAGCATTTACCTTTGACAGATCTTTCTCCAGCTCTTTAAAATCTATATACTTGTATAACACAGGTAAAACAATTTCACTGTTGCGCACCAGCTGACGTCTTTCAGTTGCCACTTCTCTCTCGTGACTCCTCTTCGCAATAAAAATAGTTGGTATGCTACCCACAATAAGGTCTTTCCTTCCTGTCCTGCCTGAAATACAATATTTAATAAATAAATGTCTCATGTTGATAAAAAGGTCATGTTGTTACTACTATATCAGAATCGAGAAAAAATTGCCTTTAGAAAGAACTGTAGAATTACGGACATCGATGTCTCAATAAAATTAGATACTTCTTGAAAAGCAGCCAGTCTTCGTTGAGTCTGATTCTTGGTCGCTAAATACC